CAGAAGCCAGTTTATTGCTCGATTGTAACTCATCTAGAAATTCCAGATTACCATCTTTCAGATAAAAAATTCAAAAGTATTGTAGATCTGTTCCCAAATATAGTTCATTTAAATTTACATTATAGTATGAGATTTAGTGATAAAACATTAAATCAAATAGCAAAATCATATTCCAATCTGAAGTACCTCAACTTGGGAGGGTAATATGGTGATAGATTAATAACTAATAAAGGTCTATATGCTATCGTAAACTCATGCTATAAATTAGAATATCTGAATATTTCTAGTTGCAAAGAATTTTCTGAAGTAGCGATTTGGAATATTATTCATTCTTGTCTGAGAATCCAAGAGTTCGTTATTTACGGATGTAAAATATTCAATACAACCATTAAGAAATTAAACTATATCTTAAAATAAAATATATTAATCCAGATACTGCTACCCAATATTTGAAAAAATTGGCTGAAGTCAGATGTGTTTTTCTAGCTCTTCTTCTAGAGGTTCCAATTTATCTGAAATTTCAAATACTGCATTAGATATCAAAATCTGCTATAGATAACATTTCAATTGGCATAGTCTATATAGGCAAATCACTTGTTCTAGACATAGGCACCGACCAGTTAATTTTTTTTTCGATTAAAGATACAGAGTATATTATTTATAGCATAATCAAGCATTTTTATTATACCAGAACTATTAGAGTAGATTCTATATTTCCTAGCAGTAGATAAGACATCATATTCCGCTCTATTTGTATCCCGATTATGATACAGATGTAGTGTCCCTATCCTATGGAAGCGTATTAAACTAAAGGAAAAAAACTTATATTATAGCAATTTCTTCCAAATGATTATAATTACTGTGCAAAGGATCGCCTTCGATTTAATAAATTCATAAGGATAGAACATACAAAGGATCTCTCACAATTGAAAAAATTCATAAGTTAGTACGTAGGAAGCAAACGTCAGTTTATTGCTTAAATGTAACTCATCTTGAAATATCATACTACCATTCACTTTCAGATAAAAAATCATAAGCATTGTACATTCATGCCCAAATATAACCCATTTGAGTTTCAAAAATAACATAGGATTTAATAATAGAGTATTAGAACTGGTAGCGGATTCATACCCGAATCTGAAGTATCTCAATCTGTATGATGATTAGTTAGCTGGCTTTAGAAGCTTACATACTCAAGAAGTAGATGATGAAGATCTATGGAGAATCGCACATTTATACTATAAATTAGAATATTTAAATATTACCTTTCGTACAGAGATTAATAAACATTCAATTTGCGGTATTATTCGTTCCTCTCCAAAGCTCCAGCATCTTGACTTTACCTTTTGTGAAATTACTGATATAACAATCAAAGAAATTGCTAGTTCATGTCTTAATTTAAAATATCTCGATCTGAAAGGATGCGAAAATATTAGCAAAGAGGCTGTAGATCAGCTCATTTTACTTATTTCAAATATTCATATCAAGAATTTCTAGGATCTGATTAATATTTGAGCTGAGATAGAGCGAGTGGTAAAGCTATTATCAAGATAGCAACCTTCCTTCAAATAAATAATATTTTTAAGGAAATGGTTTCAGAAAATGGGCAGAACAATAATACTATAGATTTGAACACTAACACAATAAATTCAAATACTAGCGAAGTACTTTTTAGCAATATTCAGGTATTCGATTCTGTAATAGACCAGCTAAATAATGAAGTAGAACAAGCAGTTACCTCTGATGACACACCTAGTAATAATGCCAATACAGAAACATTAAAAGATAAGGAAACTGATGATTTCTTAGATGAGATACATAAGAAAAAATTAGTAATAAGATTAGAGAGAGAAAGCGGGAGGAAAAACTACATTGTGAATCGATTACTCAGGATTCAGTTATTTCTAATTCATCATGTAATACAAAAACTGTTCCCTTAGAAAATGATCAAAGTCATGTGACTTTGAAAACTGAAGTATCTGTGAAACAGGATGATGACATGATTCCAAAGGAATCACTTGATGAAAATCAAATCGTAAAACAAGGCATAATGCATGAATTATGTTCATCCATATTACCTGAAGATAATATCAACTCTACCAAAATCACTGACCCTTGCGTTAGTTTAGAGAATATGGTTTCAGATTCTACCCAGCACTTATCTTATTTATTTGAAACAGCAATAAAATCCAATCAGCATGAAATATTAGTTTGGCACAATTATTCCATTGAATTTGAGAGCAAGGTAGATTCTTTTATAGCTGATGATATAATTAAGGATAAAATGATAAGATCAATAATTTACAAAAAAATGAAACAATTTCTTTCTACTAAAATCACACAAGCTAACTTGCGCAAGAATACTTATAGGCTAGAAAACATCTTATATTATTTGGAAAAAATGGAGTTGGAATAGATAAAATTAAGCTGGTCTCATATAGTGTAACTAAGATTTCAAAACTAATTAATGCACAAATCCAAAATGTCATAGATCAAGTAAAAAAATATACTAGTGTTCATCAGAGTCATATGACTTTAAAAACCGATCCCTCAGGAAATGATCAGATTAAGGCTGAGGTAAATACATCAGCAAATATATTATCAGAATCTCAATCTAAATCAACTTATGACTAAATCTATTTTCACAATAAAATATTAGATCAATATCCTAACTTATATAGAGAATTTAGTAGTAAAAATTTCGATTATTATGGAATTACTGACAAGACATCATGCTAATTGTGCAAGTTAGACTATGGTGATAAAGAAAACATAGAAGGTAGATATAAAACTAGATCCTATTTTATTAAATGTGAACAGTGCAAAATTGAGATAACTACATAGTCTCATTATTTTATAATATTACATTTGCGTTTCTCTTGAGAAACCATTTTTTACAGGTCAATTACTACCTAATTAAATTTAAATTGATTCATATAAAAAGCAACATGACCAGGTTCGATAAAATATTAACTCCTGAATATCTGAACTGGCATGCCAAATTAAGTGGGTTACCAAGTGTTTTGATGGATAAGATTCATACCAAATTATACAAAAGATATAAAAAAGAAACTGGATGTAAACCATGGCAATTATCAGAAGCTGTGACAAGTGTATCAGCAAAACCTCAAGCCTCTGATTTCAAGCCTATCACTTACAAAGCCAAACCCTATCCAGAATTAATTATTGAATCTGTCTTAAAGCATTTCACATACCTGAAATTCTGAAATAGTTTTAGGGAATTGATAATTGTAATTTTGCATTAGTTCAGCCATGGAACTCATCATATCTTATTTGTGATGGAAAACATGAGAATTATGGATTACACAGCGAATGGTATAGAAATGGAACAGAATATTGTCTTACCTACAACAGTTCAAGTAATAAACTCAAGCTCGTGATTGTGGCTTAGACCGATCGTGTGAGATCAATCACCTGAAAAATTGTATAGTATGAGAGTAAGATATTTTTTCCATATAGTAACATTCACGACGTATTGCAGTTTGAAAAAATGCCGGTAAAAAAAATACTGGAGAAGAAATCTCTGGACAAGTCATTAAGCAGTTAAGGTGAGTTTATTTTCAGTTGTATTAGGTAAGCAACAAGCTAATAGACAATTTTTTCATTTAGGATTTTGAGAATAATATTAGCATCACAGCAGGTGAAGCGGTATAATGCTTCAATTTTTTATCATTTTATTTTGAAGTAGTGTCATCATGTAGCCTGTATTATATATTTTTTTCTCATACAATTAATAAAGCAAAGACGTAATAAGGGCCAAATTTACTAGTTATGAGGTTGTGGAAAGTATGTATACTAATATTTTTTCGATCAAGTTTTATTGTAATGAATCATTGATCCAGAACTCGATAAATGCACAGTAATATTAATATAGTAAACGTCATATGTATCACAGAAATAAGTAATTGCACAAAATAATTTATTTCTAAACTTTCTCGCATATTCTCAAAATTATGTATAGCCCCTTGACAATCTTTTTATATATGAGATAGTGTTAAATTCTTTTATTATTAAATTAAGAAGAGGCTGTTGATCAGATTTTCATGATATGATCATATTAACGTAATTTCTCCCCAAAAGCATATTCCAAAATCAATCCTGAAAATTATATAAAAAGTTGATGTTCGTATTAGTGAATCCTTTTTATCCGCCTTTCAAGTAAAGCAAAAAAATTCAAACCAATCAAGCTCTTATCATTATTAAAATCATTGATATTAACAATTAAATAAACTCGTAGTTTCCACAAAGTAATAATAAAGTAAATTGGTTTATTGCTCAGCTAGTTTTTCTAAACATGTCATCACGATCCTAATCGATTTTCCACTATATAGATATTCCATCATAAACAGATATATTGCTCTTCTTGTTATATATCGGCATTTTGATCTTCACTGAAAAAATTACTGACTATCACAATAGACGCAGTGAAATTACTCACATGAATCTCATCACATACAATAGCATAGTCACTTGACAGTATCATTCTGGCAATAACGCTAAGCAAACAATTCCTTGTATATGAGGCGAAATGGAATGAATCATAGTGGTAAATGTAAATCAGAAATAAGATTGCATTGCTTATTTTTTTTTTATCTCAATTACTAAATACCCCGAATTTATACTATAGATCTGAAATTACTTAATCTCAAGGAAGTTCTCTTATGGAGAATAATCTTTTACATAGTTTGTGCAGGTGGGAGTGATATATATAAACAAAAAATTCTATAGATATGGATGGGATAATTTATTTAGGAAATTTAGTGTATTAAAGGGTGGGGATGAAAATTGCAATAGTGATAGAAATAAATTATTATTTTTCAAAAATGTGTGAAATAAATTGATGCTGTGACTCGCCTAGGATCTGTGTACTCCCTCCCTTTATAATAGCATCATACGCTTCTCTACCTCTATCATATCCTATTTATTGAGAAATTAATAATATTTCGCCCACTTTGAGCATTTGTATCAAAATTTTTTTTCAGAAAATGTGTCCATAAAGTCCTCAAAATACAAATTTTTAATTTGATTTTGAGGTGAAATTATTATTTCTTACTACGTTGACGATGTAATAAGCCTGGCAATAGGTAAAATATTATTATGAATCATGGTTCAGCTCTAAATCCATATCAGTTTTATCTGAATCAATTAAATATAAGAAAAAGAAGACCCATATAATATGGATTCTCTTAATCAATTTAATAGTAATTTGGTAAACTTTTAAGATTTTACTAGTAGTATAGGTCCTGAATTAGCTTGTATTACAATTTATATTCATAAAATCTGTATCAATTCTGCTTCAGTAGATTAAGTATGTGTTCACTTCATTGCATCACGTACAAACAGATTGAAAATTTTTTATGCGTACGTGATCCAATCCTTAAATTATGCAGATATCATGTGATCTATCTGATTTTTAATACTGTTTCTCATTCGAGTATAGTGTTAAAATAACTAGTATGCCAAGGCTCCACTACTTTAAAAATAATGCTTTGTGGGACTTGGAAAGTTTTCTAAATTGGAGTATGTTTTATGTTATTGATTTCAGAAATAAAGATACGGAATATTGCACCTACAGGACATACTTCGAAGCAATTAAGAATGACCGAAACTATTAGAATCCTGTGATAGTGAAACAGCTCAAGAGTTAGCAGAAGAAGCTTTAAAGGAATTTAAGGTTTGAAACTTTTATCATGAAGAGCCCAGAAGGTACTAGGATACATCTGACAGCTGATAGATACATCTATCAGGTACCTTTAGGATACGTCTGAATGAGCATAACTTCTTTGCAATGTGATTTGTTACTACTTTATCTGGAAGGTGCTAGGATACGTCTGACAGCTGATGGATATATCTATTAGGCACCTTTAGGATACATCTGAATGGGTTTTTTCTTCTCCATTTTATTTATTAGAAAGAGACAAATTCTGTTAAAATTGACATCTTCTGGATGAATTGTTCATCTTTTTAGATACATTAAACACGACGGTGAACCTCAATACTAATAAGATGATTGGTCGAGGTTTAGAATTATATGATGACATCAGCGATACAATTTTTAGCATCACGCAAGATAAATTACGATTTGGTAATAATTTAATTTTCATATATCTGTATTTTTTAAAAATAATGGTAAATATTGATAATATTGCTAGAACATAAGCGAGTTCATCCTCGTGAAGAAAAGTCAGTTGAACAATGAAAAAAGAAAGTATCCTCAAGACAAAGGATCGGTATATAGCTTAAATGTTTGTCCGACAAAAACACATTTTATAGAAGGTAAATGAGTTAATTTCTTTTAGGGAGATATGTTGCCTGATGGTACGAAAATTGAAAAGGCGACTCTTCTTGATTTAGTACAGTCAGATGATGATACCCATCTCTCTCAAGAAGATAATGACAAAGATGAAGGTATTCCTAATCTAAAAGACACGGTTATCAACAATTCAAAAAAATGGAATTTGCCTTCAGGACTATATGTAGTAAAATTTTCAATAAAAAAGTATCTGCTAACGCAGAAAAAGCAAAGAATAAGAAAAAATTTACCATATACGAAATGACATATTAAGATATGGTGCATTAAATATAATCGATTTATCTGTCATGAGTGAATGGTTTTCCACTAAGGATATAAAATTCATGGCAAAAAATTATGCTGATCTGTTAAAGGTTTCTCAGTTGCTGGCAGAAGAAAATTCATTTATATTAAAAGTTGAAAGTATATGTATCTTGTCTGAAATTTATTTTATATAAAGGCGTATTTATTCATTATTTTTCTACAGATGGTACTTAAGGGAGATGTGAATGGAGCATACAAGCTTTGCATTGAAAATCATATTAATTCTGAAGAAAACGGCTATATACACAAAATAAGCAAGATATATGCTGAGTTGTAAGTAAATTATCTAATTATTGAATTTATTTTTATCTTTATGATTCTAATTTTAATATTTGATATGTACAGTATTTATAGAAGTAAGAACAAAGTCGATATCCTGGATTATACAGGAGATATACATACAGAACTTGATGTCGTTATGAAGGCTTATGGGTATATTATTAAAGGACTGAACCCTGGTTTTGAAATACATCAAAAATGGTTAGTAAAAGACATGGGATATTTATTAACTTCGTGATCAAACTATTTATTATACTCACAAGCATATTCATGGTTTAAGGGATGAATCCTTCAGTCTACTAAGTAAGAGTAATGACTATAACAAGAGTCAAAAATGTGACTTGCGCTTTCTATCAATATCTGGAGTCAACATAGGTGAATGGAAATTTGCATCAAAAGTAATCCCTCATAAGGCTGTTAGCGATCATTGTAGGTCCGCTAGGGTTAATCAATCCATTTTGAATGGTTTATTAAATCTCAACCTCACTGACGAGTAGGCATAAAAATATTAAAGTGTCCTTTGTGCAAGTATATTGCACAAGTTACCAAATGTTAATCGAAGATTTGATTGAGGGTTTCTATGTAGTATTTCCTAGACCGAAGTTTAAGCTTCCAACAAGACTTCAGCATATTAAAAAGCTCAAATCTGCTGTCAATATTATAAATTTTATTATGGTAAACTTGATTCCATTGATTCTATTTTATTGTCAAAAAAGTTTTACATATCTAACACTAGTCGAAATAATTTTTTTTTTATTTTAAAGATGTGGTACTGTCAGTACTTTATTGATAAATTGTATAATAATAACTAGATTAAAAATTAAAAAAAAGTAAATACAAAAAATAAAGACTAACTATCCCTCGTAGTTCTATTTCAAACCTGTTTAGATCGACCAATCACCAAAATTCTCCCTCAGTTCCCTCCTAAAGAGAACTTTCGAAAAGAGTACAAATGATGAAAAATCTAAATGAACATGTCAGCACTGTCTCAAGAAGTCACACCAGAAATAACCAAAATTGAGAGCCAAATATAACCAAGTCTTCTGATTATCAACCAAAGATTTCCTCAGTTTAGAAGGAGGTCGACCATTGACTTTATACTTTACTTTCTTCTTCTTCAGTTTAACTCCAATATTAAGAGACTGTTCTTTATTAACCATGGCTTTGTAATGAGGAATCCAAATCAATTCGTATATGGAGTCATTTAATTTGCCCAAAATTGTAACCAATATTTGGTCTACAATTGATTGGGAAAAAAGGGAACTAAGGTGATTAACTAAGGATCTGGAAATAAAACCTTTCACTAATTGTATAAACTTAGTAGGATCTGAGGTAAAATTAAATGATTCCAAAAATTGTTGTTTAATTGAGAGGTAAGAGTGTAATCCATTGTTATCAATATTAGACATAAGTAGATCATCAGCAAAATCCATGAGTTCCGCAGATATGTTGATCAATTTAACTTTATTAGATGAGCAAGTCCATAAGTGATCAGCAGTTTCAGGAGTGGTGTTACA